TTATCATTTAAGGTGTTGCCTTATTAATGTCTCAGTAACTGTATTGTGGAATTATATGCTTTCAAATAAATATATATTGAATGCAATGAATTAATAACATAAAAGTAGACAGGTAAAAAAATATATGACGAAATTTGCGGTTTAAAATTGACCAAATCGTTAGGTTTAGGTTTGAGTTTTTTTGAAACTGTTCAAAATGATCTGGTTTATGTTTGAGTTTTTCTCAAACCGGTCAAAACGGTTTGGTTTGAAAATTTGTCAAAAACCGCAAAAATCGGACCGCTTACACCCACGGACTATGTAACGGAATTTCTTTTTTTAAACAGGCAGCTGCACCTTTTTTNCAAACCGGTTTAAACTGTTTGATTTGAAAATCTATTAAAAATCGGTAAAATCAGACCACTTAACCCCTAGTTTGGATGAGAGAGCTTGAAGGAGGGGAAGACAACGTCCTCATCTTCCATAGTGAGTGTCCTCCCATGAAGATAATGATATTAAAAATACCCCTTTGTTCCAACAAAACTGATGTCCATGGAGACGATTTTCTTTTTTTGGAGGAAGGATGAGAACATGAATTTATACCATTTTTGTGTAGTCCCCACAAAAATACACTTTATTGCTCTTGAATTTAATTTTCACTTATTTTGAGGTTGAATATGAGGAATAGGAGAAACCTTAATTAATGAAATAAAGTCCTTGTTTTATTTGACTATGGGCGTGAAGTAGAAGGAGCTGAGCTAGTGGCTCGCATGAGTTGACTGAGAGCCTGGCTAGCTAGCAAGCTTGTCGGCTCGCGTGAAAGCTAGTTCGCAAGTCAAGTTATGTGATCTCGAGCAATCTAAATGGTTGGAGAGTGCTATCAATTCTCTGTCTATAAGTAGGAATCAGAGACAGACTAAATTCATCATATTTCAACATTATCTATAATCTCCTAGTACTCTCATCATATATTTAGCAGCATAATTCAATTTTTATATAGTTTTTATTTTATTTTTAATTATATTTTCAATGTCTGTTTTTCTTATACTTCAATTCCAACTTTCTATCACTTGTGTTTACTCTTCAATTTTTTTACGGAAAAATCAATTAATTTAAATATGATTAAGAATTACTAAAAGTTACATAATTGGAGGCTAAACTATTATACTGCAAAATACTAAGAAGTGATTCAAGTGTAACTAATGTTAAATATCCTTTACCAGAACTAAATATTAATTTATAAATAAATTTTAAATTTTTAGATAATGTTTCCGGAGCATTTCACGTCTTACTTTTTTCGAAAATAAAAGTTCTATATGTTGTCTCCTTTTACGTGTCGTTTCTCATTTCCATTTTTGTACAACCAAACTAGTATATTTCTTTTAGGGTGTGTTTGATTGAGAGTATGTAATTTGTATAGAAAAAAAAAATTCAAGACAATTTTAGAACTTATTTGTATGGAAATTATTAATTAAATATATTTGATTAATTTAATTTTCAAATCTGAAAATATTATACCGATTCATTTTTTATTGGTGGTAGACGAATGAGAGTGAATTACCTAGAAAATAAAAACCAGTACCTCTCCTAACGAGAATGTTTTCTTTGTTTTTTAGGAAAATATGATCAATTAAAAGTTGAAAAATATTTTTTATGAAAAAAATTGTCAATCAAGCACCTCAAATTAGGAATTTTGGTAAAAAAAAAAAAAACACTTTTCATGAAAAATAAACTAATCAAACACACTCGAGAAAAAAAAGGTTAGTACAGAAATAGTGATACAAATCCATGCAAAACAAAGCATAAAATTACATTATTTAACTCTCACTGCTGAGGCATAACTGGTACAAACCATCCACAATAAATGGACGTAACTGACCACTCGTCCTCTTATTCATACTTAAGATACAATAACGTTAAAAAAACACAGCATTTCTTAGGTAGTTTTTAGTTGTGAGGCTTTGCTTCAGGTTCAGCATCTACTGCCTCACCAGCATATGTACAGCACCTGCAACCCCCTCGGTAATAGCTCCGGCCACAGCAGCCATAACGGCAGTGGCCTCCTCCACCACCACGACCTCCACGGTTTCCACCATATCCACCTCGGTGTCCTCCATTTCCACCACCGGGGTAACCTCCACCAGGGTATCCTCCATATCCGCCTCCTTGATACTTGGATTCTTCAACTCCATTTGTCTTCTCAGCCTCCTTATCTGAACAAATTTTAAGTGCAAAAGTACAAGATAAGTAATAGCTATTAAAACTTAAAATGTTACCACACAGTCTATAAACTTCGATAGGATAAAAAATGAAATTCTTAAACTCTTCGAGGTATGTATTATTTCAAATAATAACATGTACAAATTGTCCTGGAAGCAATAATCTATATTTATGGAGAAGAAATTTTACTTTCAACGACGAAAACTTTTGTGTAAGAAGAAACTTACCAGTGGAAGTCTGAGACAAGTCCCGGGCCGACACTTCTGATGCAATCAGAAGAACCATAGCCAGAAGGCCAAGTAGAAGAATTGTCTTGGAACCCATTTGCTATAACTGATTGTTAAGAAAAAAAGAAACTTGATTTATGTTTTTGATGTGAATGTTTAGAGTGTTTCATCTCTATTTATAGACAAATCTAGAAAAATATTGAGTCCATTGTTAGAGTGGAGTAGGTCCAGCTTTTAGTTGGCAATAAATACGAAGATTGAATACGTACAAATCCCACCTTATCTTGATCGACACGTCGTATATATATCTTAAAAATACTTTTAACGATTCTTAACTTTTCGGTAAATTTATATTAATGTGTTTATTGAGAACTCAATGAGAGTTGTTTCTATTAATGTGTTTTTCCAGTTATATATGTGCAAAAGGAACATTGTTGGTTGGTTGTACCTTAAAATATAGCCATAATTTCATATTAATAAACTTGTTTTAGTTAGTATATATGTGTCAACTTAGCAAAATCAAAGAGGGAAAAAAATAAAAGACAAAGCTAAAGCTACGACTCACTGTCCATCATTCTTAATTAGGGCATGTTTGGG